TATATTTTACATTTCTAGTAAATCATGTTTGACTATAATTGATTCTTTTTCGCGATAGGGTCAGGCTTATTCCCTAGATTGTATAACAGGGATATCAGTCGTAGAAAAACTCTTTTTCACATTTCACATCTCGGACTACCACAAAAAATTACTACCTACAGTGAAACAGAATTAAAAAATTTCTATTTAGAAGATTTCTCTAAACTACACCATATCCAACTATAGATCACTACTACAAAAAAAATAATAATACAAATTCCACAGTGGAACGGTTTCATTCAAGTCTATTAGAACATTATAGATGTTTACAAGAAGAAAACAAACATTTCACACCAGATCGACTAATTAAAAAAATCTGTATTTTGTTATAATAATATTCAGTGACAAAGTTCACGCCATTTGAAATAATTAAAGGACACATTGATAATCCAAATCCCTTTGATTTAGACGATCACTTAATAATTTTTAATTATGTACAAGATCATAAACAAATTAGTAAACAGATGTATAACAAAATTAAACAATGTAACGAAGAAGTAAAAGAAAATTTAATAAACAAATTAAAAAAAAAGAGATCTGAACTAGATAACTATTCCAATCAAAATTCATGTTTTGTCAAAACAAAATCTAGCAGTAAAAAATTACTAAAATTTAAAAAGGCAAATTTCATTGAAGATAAAGGTATTTTAATAAAAACGGATAAGAGAACTTATCATAAAAGTATTGTTAGAAGATCGAAAAATAATTTATAAAAATTGTTACAGGATACCAACGAAAATGAAATCCATTTTGATAACGACGCTGTTCCAAGTACAAGTTCTACAAGTCATTTATGTATACCAAATACATAGTACATCTTCTGATATACAGATCCCTCCGATTGAAAATTTTATGCTTCCTTTTCAGTTAGGAAACGCTAAACTTATATATTTCAAACATACATTTTTACATTATTTAGATTTAGAAGAAGTAGTTAGATAAGTTAATAATTTAGTTAATCATTTTGAATCGATAAAACATAGTATAGTTCATGTTAATGCAACTAATCCTATATCTTATCATAGCTTATCGCAAAATATGTTAACAAGAACAGAATATCTAATAATTACTCTTCAGAAAAAGATTAATAATTTAATTCCTCATGTAAGACATAAAAGAGCTCTAATAATAAATGCAATTGGAAAAATTAACAAATGGGTATTTGGGAATCTTGATTCTGATGACGAAGACAGATATTAATACTATCAAAACATTACAAGTAAATCAAAAAATATTATCAGTGAAACAAATCTTCAAATTTCGTTGTACAAAAGGCTTGTTAATCATTATAGTAAATCAATCACAATGTTAAGCATAATTCAAGAAAAATTTAAAGTTGATATGTAAAAAATGCCAGCAGCTATTTATAATAGAATCGATATACTTGAAAGTTATATTAGTTGTCAGGCTATTATATCACAAATTGGATTGTCAAATAGCAATTTATTTTATAGATAATTTAGAAAATGCCACAACCTTTGCAAAATTTGCAAAAAACATAAAATATTTACATAAAATATATGTTGATCAAATTCCGAAATTTACAAATTTATTAACGTATTATCAGTTCTTAGGAACGCAAGTATCAATTTCAGAATCTAAGTTAATTTTTGCAATACATTTTCCTATTTTTAACAGCAATACCTTTGAATTTTATCATTTATTCCCAATTATCCAAAACCAAAAAATATATACTCCTTTATTCCCCTATTTGGCACGAAAACATCAAGATATACAGTTTGAACGAGAAGAATGTCCATCCCTTGAAGAAATGTATTATTGTCTACAGAATTTCATTCCCAGAGATAATAAATAGTACTCACCAACTTCTTGAAAGAAAAACTTTGACAAATTGTAATATTTTAAATTTTAATTTAGAAGAATCAGTATTCGAATAAATCGCAGTCGATGAAGTCTTAATAATCCCGTCAAAACCTAAACAAATTCTTTCAAAATGTAACAGTAACCAGTATATCTACATAGGGTTACCTGTATTAATCAAAATACCTAAATCTTGTGAAATTTGGACCAACGAAAGAAGATATATCAACAACATTCAATTGAGCAAGAAAGCCTTTCATTCTACCAAAGCTCGACATGAAGAAAATTTCAAAACTTATCTTATCAATTTTCTTATACCTATACTAAATTAGATTTTAATGATTTATATGAAATTAATCAAATTTCTAAAGAATTAAGGGCAATTAAAGAAATTAAAGAAATTAAAAAAAAAATTAATTATTCAAGGACTTTTGGAACAATTTTTATTTGCATAATTATTTTAATACTAATTAAATATAGAAGACAACTTTTAAGAAGTTATAGAAGAAAAAACGAAGAAATTGAATTAGAAAATCCCTCAGAAGATGTTTTGAAAAATAACTCCATATTTTTTAAAACTTAAGCAGGGAGGAGTTATATATTGTGAACATAATAGACTCTTTTATGTCATAATTTAATTATCTTTTTAAATAATCATTTTTAGTTTATAAATAGGAGTAAAACCTTATTCTTATTATTGTTATTTGAGGTAGCTTTAGTGTAGGCATTAGTTCAGAGTTGTCTTAAATATCTATTTAAGTGTATTTTTGCTTAATAAAATTTTTAAAAATAAAAGTTCCGTTTTGGAATTTGTAACTAGCACGTGCCGTATGTGACGCGCACCTTTATCAGCTTGGAAGACGACTTTTGTTGTATTGTATCGATGGAAGACTATTATTTTTAGCTTCCTTATTATAAAAATTAGCATCACACTTAATTTCAGCTTTGCGAATATAATTTTTTTTTCATTTTTTTTTGTTTAATTAGGTAGGTGGAAGACGTATTTTGTCGTGAAATCCAGGTGGAAGACGATATTTTCTAAATTTTATTTCTTTAAATTAACTTGTACAAAAAGTTTCATGCATGCGAAAATGATTTTTTTTTATAATTTTTTTACTGTAGTTGCAACCCTCCTGCAACCCCCTGTCGTACGGGTGCGTCGGAAGACGTTCATATTAGAGTTACATATTACTTGCATAACTCATATAAAAAAAATTAAACTTGCGAAAATGACCCGAAAATTTCTGTCGTTACCTCCCGGTCTAATATGATGATTACAACACCACTACACCGAAATCAACATGCATACACACCAGGCAGATCTACTGAGTAATAAAGAGTCAGTTTTGGGTGTTTTCATAGACGTAGAAGGTGCTTTTGACAAGACCACATTCCCCAAGATAATTCACTCACTAACCAACAGAAATGTTCCACATATAGTCAGTGGGTGGATACATAACGTACCCTCAAAGCGAGCAGTAAACATAAGTGTAGAAGTAGTAAAAATTTAAGAGGCTTGGTTGCAAAGAATGTCCACAAGGTGGGACGCTCTACTGTGAAACATTATTATTATTACAAACTAATTAGGACTGAGGAATGAATCCTATTAAGCCCAAAATTACAAGTTCAATAACAAAGACAATTATTAAATAAGTAATTAGCAAATAACATAATGTAAACAAAGCACTAAAAATAAACTTTTAGTTTTCGTTAAAAAAGTCATCGAGTCGGTTTTTGAATACATTTACTGACTGTGCGCGAACTACACTCGAGGGTAAATTATTCCAAGTATAAAAAACTCTATTACAAAAAAAGTTTTCTCGGGTACGTGTTTTAAAATATTCTTTGCTCAACTTATATTCATGTCCACGGAGGCGCTCATTCTGTATTCCGTGGGAGTATACTATAGAGGTTGGATGAAAAAGTACCATGAAGAATTCTGTATGTCACAATAAAATCACCCCTTAATCTTCTGTGGGCAAATGAACACAAATTCGCCATGTTAAGCCGTTCTTCATACGATGGTCTGATTCTGCCGAAAGGTATTCGAGTAGCGTAGCGTTGAACATTTTCCAATCTTTTTTGATCAGAAACCAAATCAGGACACCACGCAGGTCCGACATATTCCATCAACGGTCTAACGTAAGTTGTATAAAGTTTAGAAAATGTTTGAAAGTTCACACGCGTAAAGGACTTTTTTAATAGGTAGATCATTGAGTTCTAACGTTTACATACCGCTGATATGTGTTCTGACCACGTTAATGAAGAGTTTACAATGAGTCCCAGGTCGTTATAGGAGTTCACAGTTGCTAACGCACTACCGTTTAGATAATAGTTCACGCACGGGTTATTTTTTCCTATTTGCAGGACGACACATTTTTCCGCGTTTAAAGGAAGCAGCCAGGTGTCACACCAGTTTGAAATAGTTTCAAGGTCTTTTTGTAGCTGGGTAGAATCTGTCACAGGATTACAGTATAGCTTAGTGTCATCAGCGTAACACGAAATATTAGAATTTAAGTCTTTGCCTAGATCTGCAGCGTATACCAGGAATAGTAATGGCCCTATGACAGAGCCTTGAGGGACACCACTTAGAACTGGATACTCTGACGAGAACATCTGTCCAACTTTTACCTTGAAGATGCGATTTGACAAAAAATCACTTATCCAGAGAAGTAAAGAGGCGCGAATGCCAGCTTTTTCCTCGGCACCGTAATAAGTCGCCCCAATAATGACAGGCACTATATAATTGCGTATGCAGATGACCTGGTCATTCTATAACCCGAAAATTATGAAAACACACTCTGCAAAAGAATGCAAGTAGCTCTCAAAATTATAGAACAGTGGTGCAAGAACCATTCACTGTTTATCAGTACCAAGAACACAGAATTGGTCCTTTTCACAAGAAAAGGGGTGAAAATGGAAATAAAACCTCCAAAACTCAGCATTTTCTTTTGATCGACTTTGTTAAAAAAATTTTTTGAATCTGTAGGATAAATAGTTTCTGAGAGACAGCCTTAATCAAATTTTTAGAAGACTGAGGAATAAATGTAGGAAAAATTAAATGAGAAAACTAAACAATATTTATTGTTTGAAATTTAAAGAAGGAAATGGAAAATAATCAATTTAACATTTTTTTATTGCTACATTTTTACAAATATTCTTGTTTGATTACATCACTAATTTTCTCTCCAATCATCAGACAAGTCATTGATGGATGTCCTGCAATAGAGGCAGGAAAGATGCTTGCATCTGCTACCCTTAATTTTTTAATTCCAAAAACTTTAAGATTGGAATCTACTACGGCTCCTTTACATTTATTAACACCCATGGGACAAGTAGCCATCGGATGAACTCCAGTCATTGTCAGCTGTTTCAAAAAACAATACCAATATTTTTGAGACTTGAATTGAATGTGTTTACAAGCAGGCAGTGGTTCATTAACTAACTCTAGATTAATTTTTTTAAATGCTGGAGTCTCACTTAGTCTAAGTATTTGTTGAATTCCTCTATACATGGTTTTTATATCTTTTCCAGAATGGTCTGATAACAACATAGGATCTATTAAAGGATACTCAAATGGATTTTTATTCTTTAACCTAATAGTACCCTTAGATTTTATATTGAAATTCATTAATAAGAATCTAATTGTTTTTAATTTAGAGCCAATCTTTGTAAGTGATTGAATAGTTTCTTCGTTAAAATCAAAAACTGATTTTTCCATTTCTGAATATTTTGTATCATCAACATAAATTACTAAATCGGGAACAGTACTAGTTTTATGATTTACGTTATAAAACGCTATACCCTGAGCCTGGGTACTAGTCGTAGTAAGTGATCCGTAGCCCTTTAAGAAATCTGAAAGTTGTTGTTCAATCGTTTCTACAGGTCTCTCGAAGTTTGACGTAAAAAATAAATGGGATAATAAAGCGTGTTCTTTTAAACAACTACCAACTTCTAGATTTTCTATTAGTTCTATACCTACGTCTTGCAGATGCTGTTTTGGTCCTATACCAGACAGCATCAAAATTTGGGGACTGGCAATAGCTCCGGCAGATAATATAACCTCAACGTCTGCTCGTGCTCTATAAGTAATACCGTTATTTGTGAATAGTACGCTCTTTGCTACTTTAGTTATCTTATCAATTTCAATTTTTGTAACATAACTTTGCGTTAGTACTGTTAAGTTAGGTCTATCTAAAAATGGGGTTATAAAAACAGTACCCATATCTTCTCTAGTGCCATTATTAGTATAAAGTTGCATTATGGAACCGCCTATTTGTCTTTCACTATTAAAATCTATTATATCGTATCCGAGTTGTTTATTTGCTTCTATAAAAATGTCATTCAATGGATGTTCAGGTTGAACATGTTGAACATGTAGTAAACCTTCTCTTCCGTGGCTCTTTAAATCTACAGGTGCTTTTGGGTTGGTCCAATGAAAATTCTCGGATTTTTTAAAATATTTAAGTATATTTTTGTATGACCAACTGGAGTCATGAAGTGCTTTTGCCCATTGGTTGTAATTTTTTGGGTTGGCTCTGGAGTATTGTAAGGCATTCAACAAAGAGGATCCTCCAACACCTTTGCCACGTGGAACTAAACATGTGTGGTTTTTTGTACCTTCAAATAAAACATTTAAAAGATATGGAAATAATGGATCGATCGAATTTAATATTAAACTTACTCAAACATGCATTTTTCTGTGGGACGGTTCTAAAACCCCAATTGTAATCGGAGAAAACTGTGAGCATAAACATACTGGGTATGCTCATTAAATCACCATCAGTAAAAATACCAGCTTCTATTAATAGAATCCTCCATTGTCGTATTTCTGACAAACGATTTGCTATCGCAGACCCTGTAACTCCAGCTCCAATGATAATGAAGTCGTAAGTACCATATTCTAGAAAATAATAACCAGATTTTAAGATAAAAGTTAGATAATCGAAAAAAATCATAAGCGAAAGTAGTAATAGTAACATTTGAGCAATACTTTGTCAAATAAATACATATTTTGGTTTTTTTTTCTTTCAATAAAATCTGCGTTTACAGTTTTTATTTATTAAAAAAGATCTTATATTTTAAAGAATAAAAATCTTTTTCTACACCCGTATTATAATAATGCACTTATATGCCCATAATCCGTTTCATAATGATACCCATTATGATACAGATTTTTCATTACGATACAGATTTTTAATCAATAGAAACCTACAATTTTTCAATCAAGCATGCTGTTTGACGTTTGTCCTAGGTTCCTATGTAATTATTTTAGTTGTCAAAACGTATTAAATTTTCGTAGGTAGCTAAACTTCGATAATTATAATATTAAAATGTCTGATATTAGCGATATAGAAGACTCCTCCACACATATCGGAGAAAGCAGAAAATACAGTACAAAATATTTTACCGCAAAAATCTAGGGAAATACCAATACCTGAAGTAATACCATTAATTACAATTTTGTAGAATTTTTTATAGAAATACGAGTAATTACTGTTATTGTGTTCAATACCAATATAAATATAATATTTATAGGTCTTGATTATTTATCGGGTGTAGAAAAAATAGCGTATGCAACTCTCATATAATGGTTATTAAAACACTCGCATAAACCATACGAAACTCGCCTTTGGCTCGTTTCGTATCCCGGTTAATGCTCGTGTATTAATAACCATCATTACATGATCGTTGCATAATATACTATTTTCTACACCCGTATTATAATAATGCACTTTTATGCTCACAATCCGTTTCATAATGATACCGATTTTTCATAACGATACAGATTTTTAATCAATAGAAACCCATAATTGTTCAATCAAGGATAATATGCATTTGACGTTTGTCCTAGGTTCATATGTAATTGTTTTAGTTGTCAAAATCAGTACGTATTAAATATTCGTAGATAGCTAAACTGCGATAATTGTATTATCAAAATGTCTGATATCAGCGATAAAAAAGACTTACCATCGACTCCTCTACACATATCGGAAAAAGCAGAAAATACAGTATAAAATATTAGTAGATGTAATTGGCCGGTTCTGGAAATAATAAAGAGGTACAGAGAGAGGAAATTGGGTAATTAGTAATTATCCTAAGTCCCCACCCTTCGCGTAATTAGCAAGTACCTCTAAATGAGCGTAATTGCATAGTGTAATGGGTGTAATTATTCGATACATATATAGATGTATTTACTATGTATATCGGATAGCATGTAACGAGCATAGTAAGTACCTCTTAGATAGTAATTACTATGTATAGGATATAGTGTAATGAGTTTAGTCTAAGTAAATCTCAATGATTACTATTGTAGCATAGGGGAAATACGTCGGAGCACACCTAAACACATCCTTGACTCTCAACCATCATAGGTATAGTGAAGCGCTAGTCTCCAGCAGACGCGCAAGACGTAAACATCGGTGGAAGGGATAGTTCCCCATTCTTCACAAAATTAGCGGGTGCCTCTCAGGCTTGTATATTATGAATATGAGTTACATAGTAAGTATTTTTCAGATATCCTATACACCATGTGTAATGAATATCATAAGTACCTTTCATCACTCCATACACATTGAAATGTAATGAGTGTAGCTACCTTGTATATATAGTAATTTCTTTGCATGTCATGAAGTGTAATGAGTAATTTAAGTAGCTCTTGGTTATTACTATTGTAGCGTATATAGCATTTTGTATCCTAAGTACATTCTAAATAATAGACATAAATGGGGGATGAAGTCCGCACATCCTTGACTCTCGACCACCATGATTAGAGTGAGGAACCGGCCGGGCGCAAGCATACACGGCATGAATATCGAGGCAGGAGCATCGCAAATACTTTTCAATACTCCATTCACATATAGGTACCTTGTATATAGTATGTATATCATGTGTAATAAGTTATAGTAAGTACTCCCCATTACTTCAAACACAATGAAGTGGTATGAGTGTAAGTACATTATGTATAGTAATTGCTATGTATATCATGAAGTGTAATGAGTTTAATCTAAGTACCTCTCGGGTATAACTATTGTACCGTACAGAGCGTGAATATCGAAGGAGCTTAAAAGAGGTGGGGGATTTTTGAGAGGATATATAGTAGCGTGCGTATCCAATAAGCTTAAACATCGTGAGCTTCCGCAGTGTATGGTTTCAAAACGGCTAAAAATATCTTATTTTACTACAAAATACATACAAAAACGGAAAAAAATAACATCAGAATAATTAAAATATCTTTCTCAGGTGAAAGACACCAAAAATTTAAAACAAAAAAATAAGTAAAATGCAGACACATTGACACACAACGTTTTCAACTAAACTACATATTATGTTTTGATTAGTGGAGATCTACGTATAATACGCAAACCTCGAACTCAGGTAAAAAGTGCCGGGTCCTTTAGGTATCTAGTTGGGCTAAGTTTAGTAGAAATATGTGTTTTTTATGGTCGCCATCTATAATGAAGTTTAGGTAGTTCTTCTAGAGTAGGGTGATGAGATTTAGTAGAACCCTGTTTTTAATAGTTTTCGGATTATTTATTGTGGGTAGAAAACTACAATATTTTAGGAACAAAATAAGTAAATCGTCACTCCCTTTTAATAATTACAATATTTAATTAGTTCAAATATTCCAATATATTCTAATACTTTTTGAGCTCCCCTCGTATTTGGAAATATAGATATTATGTTAAAACGGGAATTTGTCTCTGTCTGAGACATTCGATGGCTCAACCAATGATGCGCTTTCTCTAAAAATCAATAATTACGGTCAGAGGTTGTGCGCACGCCTACTTATCTCTGGATGTGGTCGTTTCATATTTCACACATGCTGTCGGTTTTTGAAATTCTTTTTCAATCTAGCAGCGAAATAAACCGGTTCGTTTTAGTGCTTTGTTTAAGTGTGTCCGAACAAACTAAGGTAATCGAGTCATTTTTTTTATAATGAATGGTAGAAATTAATTTTATTATATGTGTATATCCAGAGAAATTATTTGTGACTTATTTCTTTAATTTATTTTCGAGATTTCCGCGTAATATGAGAACCACATGTAGTGTACAAAATGGCTGCCATTAATTTTATATTTTTTTTCTCAGTTATTTAAAAAATCTTTCCATTCTTCATGTATTTTAATTTAAATATTATTGCAAATCTCTAGTATTGTTGTTAACTTGAAATGTTCAATTTAAAAATGTTTAATTTAAATAGTAAGCTTTTATGGCTGATCACATGTTTTTTTTTTTTTTTGAAGCAATGGAAAGATATGTTTTTTTTGTTGTAACTGACACGTTTTTTCTTTCTTAAAAATTAAGGAACTGGCTCTGTAACGACTAAGGAACTGGCTCTGTAACGACTAAGGAACTGGCTCCGTAATGACTAAGGAACTGGCTCTGTAACGACTAAGGAATTGGCCTTTATAACTAAGAACTGCAGAATGTCTAAAGTCATTGTAAGCTGAGTTACATCTAGAACTGCAGAATCTCTTAAGTCATTGTAAGCTGAGTTACATCTAGAACTGCAGAATCTCTTAAGTCATTGTAAGCTGAGTTATATCTAGAACTGCAGAATATTAGGAAGTCATCGTAGGCTGAGCTACCATTAAGACAGCGACACGGACCAGTTCGACCGTTGAAATCCGGAAACACAAGATAAGTGTCGGCCAGGACCACACACACAATTTTTGAGTCATAGTTATACTAGTCAATTTTAATTTTAAACTCATTATCAGTCAAATAACGTAAACCGTAAAATTTGTTAAAATCAATAAATTTCATTTTCTTTTTATTGTAATATCATTCATCAATTCAATTTGAAATTAAAGCCGATTAATTGTTTTGAAATTTAAGTTCTTTATTTTTCCTTACTTTCAACTGACAAGTTAATGACAAATTTACTTTTATTTGTACATCTATAGGTATGGCGCCCAAATTAATTTAATTGAATTCTTTTAAGTCTTTTTAATTAAAGACCTTGTCATTGACTTGAAGGTAAATTCTAAACGAATCCCACTGACCTATTTTGATCTGAGCTAGGCCTGAGGCTTGTAAGAATTCTTATTATAATGATTTTTACAATGAGACCAGGGTAAGGGTTAGAAACTTAACGTATCATCTGGTGCAAAATATGTTTTTATAACGTAACTTTGTAAACGTAACATTTTTTATAAAACGTAACATCCTACCAGTAAAATAACAAACAAATATATAAACTTACAATTTCAAAACTTTCTAAATTCCTTAACTATTCTGACGATTAGACAACACTGCAAGGCATGACGTCATAAATGATCTCTGATGTTCATCGGAATTTGTATTAAAAATACTATAGATATTAAAATTACTATAATAAAAACTACCGTTTAATTTCGTTTTCGTTTAGAAGCTACAATTTGATCAAACTCTGTTAAAAATCAAACTAAAAATAAAACCATAAAAAAATTTAATATGGTGGTATCATCTTTATTAACTTGTTATAGTTTTTTATACTACTGTTGATTGTTTTTCAAATTTTCCTCTAAATTTTTTTGTTATGATTGTAATGTTGAAACAACCTGCAAAGCATCTGCAAGCTCATATCAAACTTTATCCGTATGTGAAAGCAGGCATCATTTTTAGGAAAGAAAAATACTACTTACCTGTTATAGGTACTTCTGGCGCTTCAAACATTTTGGCGTCAGTTGGAGATTCATAATTTGGAATATTTGCAATTCTATTATAAATCAATCCCTTTAAATGTTCTACAGTATCCGAATCCGATTGAGCAAAAATACCATTTCCATAAATTATAATCAAAGATAATATAATTTTGTTACACATCTCTCTATAGTAGAGAGACATCAATTAATTATATCGTTTTAAATATTAATTTTCAATGTTTATTTAACTACAAAAACTTTATTTATGTTTATTAAATCATATATCAATGTTAATAGCAAGTAGTTTTTTTGCCTGCATTATGCTTTCTTTTAAAAAATTTCTCATAGTAAGTAAATGTGTTTTATGCTATCAGTATCAGTTGTAAAGTAAATTACCTTTATTTTGTTAATTCCCATCATCTGGTCTCTTTAATGGGACTATTTTAAATCATTTTAAATAGTTATTAAAATAATTACATTCATATCTTCAATAAAATAAAAATCTGATGTGTCCAACACATGACTTTCCTATCTAGTTATTATAGGCTTTTTCCGATTATTTTGTACAACCTATTGCAGCATCTCTATAAATGTTTAGAGAATAAACTAAATATATACATTGGCCACATACATCTACCTCGAAACATTTTTCTATAGATATTCATTGAAAACGAAAATACTGAAAAATTTAAATTTAGCACTTTTCCATTACGGTCCATTTTAGAAAAATCATGTACAAACAAAAATTATAGAGATCGATATCGCAAACAACTTTTAGTTCAACAATTTTCATAAAAATCAGAATTTTGCACATTTTGTCAAATTTTTCGAATACGGACCATTTCAGGAAATTTTGACATAAAGCAAAAATTATAGATAATAATATTAGAAGTAACTTTTATTTGAACAATTTTCTTCTCCAAACATAAATAACAGATATATTCGATAAAATATAAAAACGGCCTCCCATAAAGTACCCCCAAATGATGTTCCTACTTTGTCCAAAATCTAATCATTTCACGTCAGGCCGAAATAAACCTTAAATTTAAAATTTAATGTTTTTTTCTTTATCCGTTTTTGAGTTTTCTTCAAAATTCGAAATTTACACATTTTCTCAAATATCTCGAATACGGTCCATTTTAGAGAAATTATGTATAAAATAAAAATTATAGAAAATTATATTACAAACAACTTTTATTTTAACAATTTTTATAAAAAAAATTTTTTTTACATTTTTTGTCAAATTTCTCGAATACGGATCATTTTAGGAAAATTTTATATAAAACAAAAATTATAGATAATTATGTTAGAAATAACTTTTATTTGAAGAATTTTCTTCTCCAAACGTAAATAACATATATATTCCATAAAATATAAAAATGACCACCCCCAGATGTTCCGACATACAGACACACAGACACACAGACACACACACACACACACACACAGACACACACACACACACACACACACACACACACACACACACACACACACACACACACACACACACACACACACACACACACACACACACACACACACACACACACACACACACACACACACACACACACACACACACACACACACACACACACACACACACACACACACACACACACACACACACACACACACACGACATCATCGCGAAAATAGTCAAAACGAATTCAGGGGACCTCAAAACGTAAAAATCCGTCGAAAACTCGAGGTCGAACAAAATCATGATTCCTATACTTTCCTTATATCTGTATACAGATAGGAAAGCAAAAATAGATTGATAACGTAATTAACGCTAGCCGTCTTCCACTATTCTCTCATTGAAATTTGATATGTAATCCACTTTATACTGGGTGATATTAAAATACATCTAGATATTAAAATGGTTAATATCTAGGCTCTGCAAGAATGTGCAAATATGTTATACCAATAAGTGAAGGTGTATTTTTACCCTTTCAGACATTCTTCTGCTCCCCTCAATCATATGGAACTAATACATTTTTGATATGACAATGTTTTATAAGACAAGTTTAACAAAATTCATATTTTGACATCTACTCAAATTATTTTAAAGGTCATGACAACTATCCCAACATGAAGAAACGTGCTGTTCGTATTTTTAGTATTTATGGAAGTTCATATATAGTATCGACTATCGAACACTTTCCAATACGCCTTTGCACAAGTGCGTGTAAAAACTACAGAGGAAACGAATAATCTCATCAGTACACCTATTGCTGTGAATAGGTACAGTTGCTTTCAAATCCACGTCTGAGTCTTTACTGATAAGAATTGACAGCTGTCATAATAATATTTTTTCATTTTTCTAAGTTCCTTCCTAGCCAGTGCAAGTAGTGTAAAACTCGGAAAGGAGACAGCTAATGTTCAAGCCCGAAAGGGCAACCAAAACGCCTGGTGTAGGCTTTGAAACGGAGTACACCAAACGCCTTAAGAACAAATGCGGGCTATCATTAACGGATTTCAACAGAAACGCCAAAGGCTCAAAAAAGCGAAACTAAGGAGAACAGAACAACAATACGTGAGTACCAGAGATAAGTAGGAGATGTAACTACTAACAACTATCGTGCGGCCCTGAATAAGACATATTCTAAGGGACACAGTAGGTATAATATCCGCTGTTGTCATATTAGTAAAGTGTATGTATTAAAATATTCGCTCAAGAAAACGATTTACCTCCCACTCTTTTGTCACAAGCTGAATTTTTCACAGATGAAAGGTCATGATAAGGTAACCCTTATTCCGGAGGTAATACAAAATTAAAATGTGCAGAAGGGCATTATCATCAAAAATCCAGATATTGATACCACCGAATAGAGACAAAAATACTAATTTTTTGATCAAATGCACAATAAAATCTTTGTAGGGAGTAATTGTTTATACTTATTTAAAAAAAAATCATTTGCATTAGCCCTTACGGCCGAAAAAAATATAAACGTAAATATCTTGGTTTTAGCCCTTCAAAAATTTAGTTAAAAAGTCGTCTTTTTTAAATATACTACTCATTTAACAAAAAACGAAGGCCTAAATGAAAAAAAAAACATTTATAAAATTTTTGCTTATGTGTTGACAAGGTATCAGAGTAAACACCATATTTTTTGCTTTCGAATTAACAAAGATATAACAATAAACGATGTGAGATGTCATAGGTTTACGCTGTAATTAATCCTCACCGCCAATTTTATCAACTCTCAGTGTATCTTTCTCTTCGCCTTCAAACGTAGAATAGCTCTGTTTCTCTCTACGTGTCGGCTATTGATATGGTAGGATTTTTTCATTTTTTTATTATAAAACTTCTCGTTATGTTTCATTGGGCAATTTGTCATATTGTTATCTGTTTTTACTAAAGAATTAATAAGTGTATGTGTTATATATTAAATTACCTAATAAATTGGGAAGAAATATAGACATTTTGCATCTTTATTATATCTACATGCATCCTGTTGCAGCTGAATATATTTGGGTAAGTTATAAGTTTTCGTTTAAAATTTTAATTACGGATTTGTTGTTGCAAGTAGCAAAGACAAAAATGATATCAAAATAGGGAAGCCCAAAAGTTGCATATCAGTTAAAGAATATGCGTGTAAACATTATTTTTAGAAATAAATTTAATGCTCAAATGATAGATGTGGTATTTGATCATTATAAAGGACATTCTATCAAAAATACAACACGTCAAAAGAGAGGAACCCAGAAATCAATTGATATAGAAATTGACCGACCCAATATTCCACTTCCGCAGCAATAGAACTTGTTTATTCTGCCAGAGCAACTTCTTCAAAACTTCATTCGGCAAAAGCATATTCAATTTGTAACTAGTGGTGGATTCGCGAAAATCAATAAATATGGGAAGAATTTTCAACCATCAAAAGACGATTTTTTAAGTTCAAATCACGAAGACGTTGATAATCGTATCTTATTGCACATATTGTCAGCCAAAAATTCGGGACATTCACGCTGCATTATTTATTGCAACGATACAGATGTTCTAGTCTTATTAACGTACCCCCACCTTCTAACCATTACTAATTTTAGGAAAAAAGTAATTCTTTATAAAAAGTCGAGCATGGCCTAAATAAAATACAACCATCAAATATCAAATTATATCAGTTGTATAAAGAATAAATGTACTTTACTGTTGATTAAAATTCATATTTTTTGACAAACCTTGTATACGGCCCAAAAAATTTGATATATGATGATTGTATTTCGAGTTTTAAATCATGTAGAACGTTTTATAAAGAATGACCTTTTTCCATAAAACTGACAATTAGAAAGTTTCCCATATGGTTCCGACTTAATTGGACACACTGTATAAGATATTTGTGTAGACAAAATTAAGAATTCCTTTTTATTTATGTTTATAGGTAGTAATAATTATTGTAGGTTCTTTTTTTTCCTATGTGTTTTTTATGTAAAAAAATGGAATTTGTTTTTTATTTATCGGTTATTGTAAAATAATTTGTGGTTAATTTATTGATAAAAAAAAAATAAAAACAATAAATAATAATATTTTTTACACAAAAATTTTGTACGTTTTGTGTTATTTAAAATAGTTGTTTTTTAGAAAATATATATATTATGTTTATTGTTGAAACCAACAAAGATTATACTTAGTTGTAATACAATTTTGTATTATTTATTTTATACCTTTAAAATTATTTAATATTAAATTTTACATTTTTATTAGCATTTTTTAACATGCATGAGATGTAAAATTCTTATATTTTGTCGGAGTAAATTCAAAAGCCCGCCAATTTTAAAATTAAAATAGCATTACAGATTTTTATATGGACGAGTGCCTATTCCCTGTCCAGGCATAAGCAAACCTTCAGTGTGGTCCGTAAGAACTTTAATAATTTTATTTTAATGATATAACTTGCAATGCAGTGATGCTTATTTTTTATTTTTATCTGGCAATGATTTTTGTTCTACACTTTTAAAGTCTAGAACATAGCATATATATTTTAATTTTATAAATATTTTCTTTTTCATATGGTATAAACCTATTTATATTTCCTTCAAGACAAATGTCTTTGTACACCACAGGTATAGATCTAAATCCTACAGTCTGTTCGCTATACTTACGCGGGTTTCGGATTAACAAAATTATGCACATTAGTCATTGACAACCAGTTCCAATAGGTCTCTTCCCAAGAAATTAGGTAAAATTGCCCTAATGGTCAGATTTAAATTAAAATAACATTAGGGTAGGCACTAAATTTGTTACAAATATTACAGTTGAATTGATTCTTGTGTTGTATGTATATTGTAAATTTAGTGGAAATTTTAAAAATGCCTAGACGTGTGTTAGATGTAGATAGTCTAATTTGTAGTGTACATAAGTATTTTACGGATGAAAAAAAAAATGGCGGTCCTTTAAAATCGGTAATGTCTGTACAACACGTATGCGATGCTCTAGGAATTAGTGAAACCAAATTAAGAGGAGTATTACAAAAATCACAATAGTGAACTGCCGAAAGAAGATCTCCGCAAAACTCGCCCATCATTGAAAATGAAAGATATTCCAGATGGAAAGAAATTTGATATTCGTGATACTATTTATCGAATGAGGGCCAACAAGAAACATGTGACCTTAAATACAATTCTCTCGGAATTAATGGAAAATTTGACGACATTGGCAGAACAAGTCTATGGCAAGTGATACATAACTTGGGTTTCAAATTTCAAAAGGAGGATAACAGAAAGGCCCTTTGTGAAAGAAGTTCTGTCGTGCGCAAGAGAATTAACTTTCTAAGAAAATATTCTAAATTTAACGAAGCAGGGGCGAATTTTATATATTTAGACGAAACATGGATATTTCCTAGGGGTGCAACCAAGAGAATATGGCAAGATGATAACGTTAAATCCATCAAACATACCGATGGAGAAGGGAAGCGACACATAATTTTACATGCAGGAGGGAAATCGGGTTTTATAGAAGGTGCTGATTTAATATTTTCATCTAAATCAAAATCCAGTGACTATCACGATAATATGAACACAGAAATGTTTGTAAAATGGTTGCATGAAAAACTTCTCCCAGGTTTAAGTAAGCCCAGCGTAATTATTTTTGACAATGTACCTTACCATTCTGAAGTATTAAACAAAAGTCCAATGAATTCTTGGACTGTTGATACAATTAAAGAATGGTTGACAAAGGAACATATACCATTTCCTCAATATATATTAAAATCAGAATTATTACGCTTGGCAAATATACACGCAAAACCAAAAATCTTTGTTGTGGATCAGATTATTGAAAGTTACGGTCATCAAGTTTTACGTCTGCCACCGTATCATTGCCAATTTAATCCCGTCGAATATATATGGGGAATAGCAAAACAATATTATGAAAACCATATTGGGCCTAATAGTTATAGTGACGACGCAGTTCGGGAAACTTGGCGAAAAGCACTTTCAATTGCAACTCCAGAAGTGTGGTGGAACTTTATATCCAAGTGCGAGAAACTAATAGAAGATTGGTGGACTCGTGAAAATAAAATAAACGAAATAAGTCCAATTATAATAACAATTAATGGTGATGATGACGATTATAATATTTTGCATGATAATGACTGATTTTCATTTTTGTTGTCAAGTTCAATTTTTTTATTTTTCATTTGAAATTCTCTACATGGAACAAATTTTTATTCAAAAGGAAAGACTTGTATTTCGTGCGAAACTTTTTAATTAATAAATGCAAAGCGCTTTCGGCTTATTAGCCATCATCAGTGCTTATCTACAAAAATTGTGGATGTAAACTTACAATTTAAAAAATATAAATCTGATTAAGACTTTTAAGTAAAGAGTTAAAATTGTATATATACAGTTGTTTGAACAAATTAACAATTAAAAGATACAAACAAAGTGACAAAAAGCCAGTATTGGGAATAGTGAGTGTTGGATAAGCTCTTACAAATCATATCTGATCTCCAGAAGCAAGTTAGCTTGTATGGAATTAAGGAATTATACCACCTTCACCATTCGCACAATTGAAAACAAGTTAACAAATTAGTTAAAATAGAGGGTGACTGTGGAAAATATATATTGAAATTTGAATCTAGAAGACAATAGTTAATATTTATTTATTTATTTATTTAATACACTGTTCAACAGGAAACCTAATTAAAGAACAGGATTACAAGAAAAAAAAATCACAATCTGAACAACAAAATTCAAAAGTAAGTAATATGAAAAAAGTTAAACGCAGAAGGCCAAAGTAAAAAACTGAAGGTTTTTTTTATATGTATATACATTATAATTATAAAAAAATTCTACCTACTGTCCACAATGTATCCAACAAGTTCCTGGTCATCCTCACTCCCAAAATTAGATATTTCGGGATATTTACAACTTGCTAAATCATATTATTAGTATTATTAATATTTTCAAATTTAAATTTCTTTATCTATTCATTTTTATTCAAGTTGTTTAACCGTTTCCACATGACAGTGGTGACAAGCGACACTTAAAGACGTTGACTTGTCAAATGTCAAGAGAGGAGGTGCGTTCACCTCAGTGTGGAACATGTTTCTCCAAGTGTGATTCGAGTGATTGGAGGTGGTTAACGGAGATCAAAATTTGTTAGTATTGAATTTAATGATTTGATTTATTGTTAGTTAAATTTAAATAAATATTTAATATGAAATGATGTTATTATTTTTAATGATACTTTTAATGTCAAGACAAAACAAAAATGACACTCGTGTGGTTCTGATGTGCCATCTCGGGCTCTGCAGAACTTTTATCCCAAGATGGCACAACTGAACCCGCGGTCCCTAGAGGTGAATCTGATGTTTAGTCTTAAAAATTACTAAATCACTCATCAAGCGTACTCATGGTTGAAAGAGACAAAATAAAGACCAAAAAAGTTTTAAACAAAAGAGTACCATGGTCCCAAAGGTAGGCTCTGATGGGTGAAATAGAGTTTAGGAGGGGATGGCTCTCAAAGGCTTGTATTGAGCGACTCGGACCTACATCATCATAGAGGGTTAGTTGAGTTTTCTATGGAGTGGTATGAAATTTCTGTTAAGGTTCACTTGAGTGTTGAGACAGAGGATATTGTTGTCTTTTTCAAGAGTAATTTCAACATCTTCATGGAAATCTAATAAATTGAAGTTTTTTGTCTTTAAGTTAACTAATAATTTGGAGTTTTTTGTTGGGCTACAATTATGTTGATTGAACCTCAAGTGATGTCCGAATGCAGATGTGTCCGGCTTCTTGATGTGCTCGCCTATCCGGACTCCCAGAGATCTACAAGTTCTGCCGATATAACTGGCATCGCAATCGCTGCATTGCAACCTGTATACTCCACTCTTATCTAACAAATTCGTTTTGTCTTTTGTATTGACTAGATGAGAGTCTAGTTTATTAATTGATTTAAAAGATACTTTGATGCTATCTACGTTGTTAGCAAAAGTTTTTGAAATGCTCTTAGCTAAGTTATTTTCCCAGAAGGGGATTGATATGTAAAAATTATTAATATGACTCAAATTGGGGTAGGCTAATTTTTGAATTTTTTTGAACTTAATTTTGGTGATTAGAGATTGGATTATGTCCGGGTCATACCCGTTGTTAAATGCAATTTGTTTAAGTATATTTAATTCTTGAAGATAATTAATTTTATTTAGAGGGATTGATAGAAGTCTAAGAATATAGCAATAGAAAGCAGACATTTTATGTTGGTGGGGGTGATTTGAAGAATAGTGTATCACGTGGTCTGTTTGGGTGGGTTTTCTATATATGCTAAATTCGAATTTGTTACCCTGTCTATAGACAGAAAGGTCCAAAAAGTTCAAACAACATTCTTTTTCAACTTCCAGAGTAAATTTTATATTGGGATGAATAGTATTGATTGAGTTTAGAATATTAGAAGCCGTGTTGGCGTTACCATTTATTAGGCAAAAAATGTCATCCACGTATCTGTGGTAGATTAAAATATTTTTATGTTGTGGAATAATGTAACTAGTTTCTAAATGATTCATAAAGATATCAGCGATTAAAGGGGATAGGCCACATCCCATTCCTAATAAAAGTTTGTGTAAAAATAAGAAATTGACGATGTCCAGTTTTGGATGAAATACAGGACCACAAAAAAGTACAAGTGTTAAAATATATTTTTCTTAAATATCAATTTAAGATTTTAAGAGTGGTAATAAACAAATATTATTATTTATATTGATAATCGATGTTAAATAATCAACTTTTTGAATGAGCGATTTTTTGGTATGTCGATTATTTGAATGATAATTATTCAAATTTCGATTATTCGATTAATTATTTGAAAATAATCAATTATTTTACCCACCTCTAATTAAAATCTGCCGTAAATGTATAATTAACAACCACTTTTCGGGTCCTTTTAACAATTTTGCCAAATTTATATCTTTTTCTTTTTCGGTGTACATTTTTCCACCCAATTTTGATGTAACTCTACGTATCGTTAATATTGTATTCACTGTTGCGGTAAATTTTGCCTCTTGTGCATTTTAATTTTTCTAATTTCGCATTTATTTACCTGTTAAATTTTTGTATAGAATGTTTTATAATTGGGTTTGCCTGTAAAACAGTGTAACTAAATAAATAAATAAATATTAATAATAATTATTTTTATTAAAATTCTTTCAGAAAATACTATTTTTAACTAGAAGGAACCAGAAGTCATTAATAACATGTTAAACGGTGCTTTGTTACCTAAGTAAAATTTGTGATTACTACTTATTACCATGTTTTCTCAGGAATAAATTAAATTCGAATTTTGCTATTTTTAACAACACGTCCACTATCCACGTCTGGTGTATCGTTTCTTTATGGTATCAGAAATCTTTTCGCCGATCATAATACATGGTACGGCGGTATGTCCATCAATTAGCTTGGGTAACACACTAGCATCGGCCACCCTTAATCCTTTAACACCGAACACCCTTAATTCTGAATCGACTACTGCTCCACTATGTCTGCTTCTACCCATACTGCAAGTAGCCACTGGATGAGCAGCAGTTAATGATACTTGTCTTAAAAAGCAATACCAGTATTTCTTAGATTTGAATGGGTGCTCCTTACATGCCGATAGAGGTCCTGAAGCGTAAGTCATGTTGATTTTCCTAAAAGCCGGAGTTTCAGCTAACCTAAAAACTAACTGTAGACCTTGGTAGAGAACTTCAATGTCTTCGTTTTTTTCATCGGATAAATAATTAGGATCTATAAGGGGATAGTCATAAGGATCGCTACTTTTTAATCTAATAGTACCAACTGATATCGGATACAAGTGTCTCAAAGAGAATGAGACTGCCAATTTGTTTTTACCCCATAGTTCTTGATAGGTTTCGTTCTTCCAACCGACCGTCTTCACGTCTAATTCACCAGGAGAACCTAAGTCACAAATTACTTCCAAATCTGATAAACCTCTGTTTTTGTATAACATCCTCAAAAAGCTATCCCCTTGAGAAATGGTAGCTGATGTTAAAATTCCAGTACCATTCAAAAAATCTTGAATTTGTTGTTTTAAAGTCTGTGTACTCGAGGGGTAAGTAGAAGTAAACATGAAATTTTTGGTACCAGGTTGGTCTAAAAATTTTGTTCCAACTTCTAGATCTTCTAAAACTTTGATTCCAAGTTTCTTAAGATGTTTTCTGGGACCTATGCCTGATAGCATTAATATTTGTGGACTGGATACACTTCCAGCGGAAAGTATTACCTCTTTGCTAGCTTTTACTCTGTAAATATTACCACGGTTAGTAAATATAACGCTTTCTGCTACCTTTCTCTCATTGAAGACGATTTTGGTGACGTAGCTACTTGTTAGTACCTTTAAGTTTCTCCTGTTCAAGAATGGTTTTACAAATGCGGTACCCGCATCTAATCTACGGCCGTTTCTGGTATAAATTTGAACGATGGTACCTCCCAGATGTTCTCTTCCATTATAATCTTTTATGGGAATTCCTAGTTCCCTATTAGCTTGTAGAAACAGCTCATTGAGTCTTATATCTGGTACTTGTTGTTGAACGTCTAATAAACCGCCTTTACCGTGGTAATCAAGGTCAACAGGCGCTTTTGGGTTAGTCCAATGGAAGTTTTCGGATTTTTTGAAGTACTTTAGGATATTGTCGTAGGACCAACTGTCGTCTCCAACGTGTCTGGCGTAAATGTTGTAGATTTCTGGTGATCCCCGATCGTATATCAAGCCGTTCATTAAAGTTGTACCACCTACACCTCGTCCTCTTGGGTATACGCACTGGTTGTTGACAACACCTAGAAATACGATGCTATTAGAATCACCAATCCAAGCCCTTGAGAGGATCAGAATGAAGAAAGAAAGATAGATATACAATCGTGGATGACTTTGGTAGGACATATTAAATATATGCCTGTATGTGCCTGATAAATCTAATCAGTGCCGAAATGAAGCTAATATTAAGCAAAGATGAAGAAAATGGAGATGAAAAGGTGAACACAATCTATGAAAAAAAGTTTAAGAATTTTGTGATTGTGAAGGCGTTGAGGGTATTAAATAGAAATAGAAGTAAATGTGCAAAGTTAAAATTTCCGTTTGAAGAACTGTATGTGGTTGAGAATGGGAATGAAGTCAATAGTTATAGTATTTGCATTATGGCAAATTATGAGGAGTATTCTATGTACAAGAATTGTTTAAATATGAAGGGTAAAAGTAAAAAGTTAGTAGTTGAGGTAGCATAGAGTTAGAGTTAATAGTTAATAAATAGTAGCTTATGTGATGAATGAAAAAAAAAATAAAAATAACGAAATCAACAATTTAAATGGGGGGGAAATATTGGTCCAAACGTGAAAATTTGAATATTTTGGTTAATAATTTGAAATTTATAAGTTAATTTCATTGTTCACAGTATATTTTAGGAATATACTGAGTGAACAATAAATTTGGGAGATTTGATATGGAAAGTTGATGTATGAAAAAAAAAATTTTGGAAATTCTCAAAACTGAACAATGCTGGGGTGGTAAATTTTTTAGAAATTAAAATTTTAAATAAAAATTAGGAATTCAGTTTTTTTTTTCCAGATTTTTTTTTTGAATTGTTAGTAGGCGATATAAATTGTTTATAGTGTTTATATTGATTTGGTATGTAGATAAAAATAAACATTTGAACAGGAAAGTAATTAAAATTGTTATATATTGAAATAGAAAAAGTTAAAATAGACAAAGAGGAGAGAGACCAGATAACGAGACAGACCAAGAGTTAGAACTTGGGAGAAAGGAGACTTGCAGCAAAGGAGAAACCAATGGAAAAGCAGAGTTCGAGTAGATCAGAGGTTCCCAAACTCTTTTGTTTCGTAGACCACTTTCAAAATTTTGCTGGATCCGGTAGCTACATCACTACCAATTTCTAAATCTCGAAAAAAAAAGTGAAGATTAGATTTATCTATGGAAACTTGCGTTGTGGCTGAGTTTTAACGACAAATTAACAGTTTTCGAAAAAAAAAAAGGTTAGAATTGATTGCTTGATAGTGTTAATTATTTGATAATAAAGTCGACTAAACAAATTTTCAATTAAATTTTAATTGTTTGTGCTGTGAGTGGATGTCAAAAAAGCAAAGTTGGCCAAACGAAAAAGTGACTCCATCCAACTTTACTTTTTTGAAATCTACAGTGACTCACAGCACAAGAACCAATCAATTCTCACAAATTTTATTTAGAAAACGTCCCATTCGGAGTGGTAAAAAGAAATATAGTATATTGTTATAGGTATTTATTTAAATTAAATAAAAATTATTACACTATTCATTATTATTGTTATAACCGTCGTAATATAATTAAAATTAAACACTTGTAACATAATGTAATTTCTACAATGGTAATTACAAAAAAAAAATATAATTTTAATGAGAGGGATACACTTGATGGATTGACAGCAAATAATCAATATTTGTCTTAAGTTTTGTAAGGAATAACCGTAAATCTCCCTTTTCTGTGATATTCAATCTGCTCCTTTTTTTTTGTTAATAAGTTTGTAACGGCACTAAAACTTTTTTCGATGAGATATGACGAGGGAAACGCTATCAGAAGCTTTTGCACAATTTCCCTAGGTCCAGGATATTTTTCGGGTATTTCTGCCTGCAGCCAAAATTTTTGATACCCTCTTTGAAATGTCACTTTCAACTCCTCAGTAGGGCTAAGATCGAGTAGCTCCTCTTGTATTATCACATACTCCTCTTCCGTTTCATCAAATGGATTTATGATCCATGGTGGTATTTCCATCGACAGAATATCTTCAAATCTGAATTTAAAATCATGATGCAGGGCAATCAAATGTTGAACGTATGTCTGAATATCTTCATCAAGACATTCTACCTGCGACAAGTTTGAAAACTGTGAAAATTCGCGCCGACCAATATTTCCTTCATAAATCTCAATTTACCAAGAAAAGCTGAAATGACACTATTTGTTTTTATTAAATTGAGGCTGTCCCCTTGTAATTATAAGTTGAGGTCATTAAATTTTTTGAACAAATCTGTCAAATACTCGATGTCTGCTTTAAAATTGATCAAGTTTTTTTTTTAAATCAGGACCTTTCCTTTCCAAAAACTCTAAAATTGAGTCAAAAAGTAAATAAAATCTTGATAAACATGCACCTTTCGACAACCAGCGTATTTCAGTATGTAACAGCAATCGTTGGAAGTCTTCATCATTTTCATCGCATAATTGTGCAAATAAACGCGTATTCAATGCACTGCTTCTTATTTTGTTAACTGCATTAATCACAAATTGAAGCAATTGGTGCAATCTATCACTCAAATTTTTCGCTACTAGATGTTGTCGGTGGATAACACAGTGAATCGCAATTACCTCTGGTATAATTCTTTAAAAATGGCTTATAAACCCACGATATCGCCCGACCATGGCAGGAGCTCCATCTGTTGCCACCGAAATAACGTTTGTGAATGGAATTGATTTTTCTTTAAAAAAATTACTCAAAAGATTAAATATTAATTCACCTTTAGTGTCCGTCTTCTAAGTTTTCGCGAATAGTAGCTCTTCATGAATTTCTTCGACCATAACAAATCGAACATATGCCAATAATAATGCTTCATTGCCAGGTAAAGTTGACTCGTTCAGTTGAATAGAAAAATGAGTTGTTCGTAGATAATCACACAAGAAACTTTCAACATCAGAGCTTATTTCATCAGTACGTCTTTGTACAGTTTTGTTACTCAAAAGAATTATTTTGAGTGTGTCAAATGAAGATTTGTGCAGAACAGTTTTTAAAACCTCTTCATCAGCAGGTAAAATTAACTGTTCTCCAATAGTGTGCGGTTTTCCAGATTTTGCGATAAGTAATGAGATATTGTGAGATGCCCGCAAGCCATCATCGTTGCTTTTAGACGTTGAAGAGAACATACTGTGCACGGTGGGTCTCTTTTCATATTTTTCCTTTAATGTTTGGAAATATTTCAAATCTTTACCTATTTTATCAGGATGACACCTTCTTAGATGCTCTTTTAGCTTTGATGGTTTCATAGAGTCATTGCTCAAAACTTTGTTGCATAAAAGGCATGTGGGCAATCGTTTGTCTGCCTTTGATGGAAGAAAACCAAATTTTAAATATTCAACACTGTACTGACGACACTTTTTCTTAGATTCGGCCATGTTTTGTATTAATTACCTACCTGGAAATGTGTAAGTAAATAAATAAAAAAAAACTTTATTTAAGTAATCTTAAGACGATTCGAACTTAACAGGATATGGCTATTTTAACATAATATGATAATCAATTATTATAAATATTATGAAATAAACAAAGTTCCGGCTGCAAACTGTTTCTAATTATTAAAAGCAATAAATCGATAAGATGCATAATAGAGTTTTATGAAAACGGCTGAACTTATTTTAATGTGTTATAAAATTAATAATTCATTTATTATATTTTAATATATTTCTGTAAATTCTATAGAAACTTTTAAACAATATTTTGATATAGTTCTTCCATTATCAATTGCAGAACATGAAAACTCGTTCGGAACCTTTACCGACAATTTTGTTTGATCTGCCATAGGCGTAGATACCTACCTCATTTTATAAATTTATTTTATAAATACTTTTAATATATATCATATGCAAGAAAGTATTCGTTAAAATGAAATCGAATCATTATAAATTGGACGTTATTATACGCCTTGATTTAGACAGATGCACTTAATTGTAGTCTTACTTGGACTTAAAAAAAATCATTATAGCTCGTTAACTTGCTACAACTGAATATTAAACTATAAAACGTAAAAAAGCGAGTAAAGTGTACCTGCCTGTAAGGGCGTTTGGTTTAAACAGGTTACCAGACGTGAACTGAGCCGTTTTTGTACCCCATTCGTTTTTTTTTTCTGGAAAACGAAATTTCAAAGCAAAAACCATAAAGGAAAATAAATTCTTTGCAAATAAAACAAAAGAAAAAAAAAACAATTCAATTCTAAAGCATCTTTATAAATAATCATGGCAGTCTGAATCCTTTGAACTAGAGTCATCATTTGGTTGAAGTATGATGGGTTGTAAAGAGGGTAATACTACATACTCATCTTCTTCTTTAATAACATGTTCGACGCAGTTTTTTTCCAAAGCTCTTGGCGGTCTGCTGCTAGAACTTTCTTTACGAGTTCTACAACCTCTTTACTAAGTTCTGGAGACTGATTACATTTTCGTAATTCTGTATTTACGTTTGCCCATATTAACTCTATAGGGTTAAATATGCAATAGTAAGGAGGTAGTCTGAGAAAAGTATGACCCTGTTCTTTGCACAGCTTGTCAATATAATAAATTTTTTCCAACTTCATGCCTTTAATAACAGTAAGCAATTCTTTGTTTGTTGGGCCTTTTTTACGATCACTGGCAGGAATAGGAATATTTTTTTCAGACATAAACGCTAAAATTTGAGCTTTGTTACTGCTACTATTTGGTATTTTAAGGAGTTGCCGTGAGTGGTAGGATGCGTTGTCCATAACGATTACTGACTGGTGGAATATTAGGTAAGAGCTGTTCATTGAACCATTTTTCAAATAATTCTGCTATCATATCTTCATGATAATCAGCTGCACAATTTTTAGTTTATTTAACAGATAATAATAAAGCATTAGGCACGAAACCGTCTTTGCTTCCAGCGTGTACTATTATAATACGTTTCCCTTTAGAACATGGCCCATTCAAACAGCAATTTTTACTACTGTCAACCCAACCGAAATGTACTACATCGTGACTGTCAAACCATGTTTCATATAGATAAATTATGTGTCTATTAGAACTTCTGTACTCTTTTATCTGACGCAAATAATCTTGTCGCCATTGAACTATCCTTGACGATTCGGTGATTGCCATACGTTTATTCATTTTTTTGTGTTTAAAACCACATGCTGACAAAACTTGACGCAATGTTTCCAAACTGGTATATGTGTAACCTGGAAAATCTGCTACCTTCTGCTGTATTACTTCCAATGTTGGAACCCTGTTCTCCTTATATGAACTATAAATTGTCCTTCGTATAAAATCTTGGGTAGCTCTGTCAACTGATTTCAGTTTTTCTTTACATGTTTTTCGGTTTTGTGAATGATCCACAGCAACCCCTTTTGTGACTACCCGATAAATGGAAAATTTATTTACTTTAGTTAATTCAACAATTCTTATTATGATCGCATTATCAGACTGCTGAATATTGTCCTTTTTTAAACATTCGAATATATTTAAAATAACTTGTTGTGTTTGTATATCTAAATCCTTATTGTTAAAGTCATACCTGTCTTTAATCTCACTACATTGTGCAATTTCATTTTCTTCATTCGCCCACGGTCTAAAGAACGTCATATTTATATTTATTAAAAGAAATTTAAATTAAACCAACCACACATACAAAACACACCGCACGACAGTACTCCACTGATATCGCAGACTGTCTTTCAGGAATATTTTCGAACACTCCTCCCCTTCGTAAACCTTTGGCCAATACAGTGCATTTAAGTTTACGATTCGATGTTTTCATTGGTTAACAACGGAGATGATGGATTTTGACACATATATATCAAGTACACGTTGACTGACCGTTCCTTTAATATTTACCGCATTGTATAAGGGGAGTAAACATTATTTTTCGTTTCTAAATTTGGCATGAGTACCGTGCGTATATATTAAATATTGATGATTCCCCACATAATTGTGTTCTGCAATTGATATTGGAAGGACTATATCAAAACTACGCAATAATTTAATGAATTAGATAGATAATAAAAATAAAGTAGAGACGATAAGTTCAATCTTTCTCGGCTTAAAACTATATGCATATAACAAATAGGCAGGTAGGTACTTATTTTTCCGACGCTGGCAATCACTAATATCGATTCACTTTACTTTTCTTTTCGAAAGTCTGGAAACAAATTCAGTCACTGGCCAACACTAATATCGATTCACTTTTCTTTATGAGATTCCAGAAACAAATGAGTAACGATTATCCTTGAGATTTGCATTTATATTGGTGAAGAATCAAACACGTTCATGCAAGATTGCAAGCACATACACCACAAGTCGTATTAATTTGCACGTCTGATAAGAGAAGCCAACATTTTAGTAACTAAAATGTTGACTGTTTATATTATAAACAGTTGAAGTTTTTTACAAGAATTTCTTCATCACATGGAAAAATAAGTAATCAATTGTTAATAGTATATTGCTTCACTATCGAAACCAAATTAATTTTCATGCACCCCCGCTTACGATTGTGGACCCCCATTTTTTATTACGCCCAATGTAGACCCTCGTCGAGTCTCCCGTGGACCCCCGGGGGTCCACCTGGACCACTTTGGGAAATACTGGAGTAGATGGTAAGTGAAGGAGACAAGTGGAGAAGGCGTAAGAAAAGAAGGTAAGATTTTTTTTGTAATAGAGTTAAATTTTAAAAATTTTTAGGACCGATCCACTCCTTTTAAGAGTCTTGGGTAATTTTTGGAAATTTGATATAGTGGGTGTTTTCATATTAGTATGTTCCACAAGGATCGGTTTTAGAACCAACCCTTGTGATGGAGAGGATTAATAGCAGTTTGAATAGATAACCAGGATTTACAAGGCAAAGAGGTTGATTGGTTAGTTGGTTAATTGATTGGTTAGTTGATTGATTGGTTAGTTGGGTCGCTGGTTGGTCAATTGATTTGATTGGTTGGTTGATTTAGTGGAAGATTAATTAGTAGGTTAATTGGTTGATTGATTGCTTAATTAATTGATTGGTACGTTTATTGTTGGGTTGATTGGCAGGTTGATTGGTAGGTTGATTGGTAGATTGATTGGTTGATTAGTTAAATGATTGATTGGTTGGATTACGATTTGGAATCTTACCAAGACATGCAGTAGTTTGAGGTATGCTTTTAAATCCCCAGTTATAATCCGATCGCCATCCAGTAAAGGCGTATTTGGGGATTTTTAAAACGCCGTCATTGGCGAATTCTCCCGCTTCCAGAACCAAAACGGTGAAATTTTTTTCTTCCGAAAGACGGCTTGCAATTACGGACCCTGTGGTACCACCGCCGATAATGACAAAATCGTATGAACCATAATCTGAAAGAAGAAACAAAAGATTGCCTTGTACTTAAACTACAAAATTACCAAGGATCAAAATTAATCAGTTTGGATATCCCATAAAAACACTGACTGTTTTATCCAATCAGCCGTTATATATTTTCCAGTGTCTAGAGGCCTATCTTGAGCAATCGCAATCCAGAATCTTCTTGGTATTTTGATATGCTTAGTAATATAAATGTTATTTAATTCCTTACCTTTTATAGTTGTGTTCTTCGGCTTATATCTCCTCGCATCTGTGGGAACAACATAATTAAGTGAATCTTGCACAGCTTTATTAATCACATTCTCTAAACTCTCAACTGTGTCTTCGCTAGAGACAATTTTGATTATTAGAGAAACAAATATAATTAAATTTTTAACGATTGTCATGTCTTGATAAAGAACGTGGATATGATAGTAGAAGACCGTATGCTTTGCAATTATAACATTTATAAGTTAAAATTCGCTTAATTGTTTTAGATAACGCACGATTATCGAATTCATTATTTTTATACGGTGTCTCAAATTCTCAGAAAATGTATTTTCCATTACACGTAGGAATCTTCGCTATAGGACTTGATTCTTTTAAATATAAATGTTTATATACAACGACATTATAATAGCTGTTGCGAAATGCCTTATTTTATGTAACGAGTAAATATTTTCGGGATGAGCAGAGCGAGGTTCCGCAACATGAACGAATTACATAAAACGGCATTACGTAACGTGTTACATACAATATTTTTTCTAATTTTGACTAGATTATTTATAAAATTGTATTTTGGTAAAACAGTACTGACATCTAGGCAACCAATATTTCTACTTTCTTGTATTGCTGGTTGCATATGATTAACTTTATTATTTTATTGACACAGACTTATTGCACTGTGTTTATATTGTTTGTTGAAGTTATTTATATTTCAAGAAAGTGGGTTATTTTGTCGTGTATTATCTTTTATTTATTTTGTGTTGATTTAGAATGGAAAATAAGGACCAAAACAACATTATTACTAGGTTGTAAGTTTAATCAAATTCTATTTGTATAAGTTAATCTGCGCTTCTTTGATATAAATTTTTAATAATAATGTAAATTATTGATTTTAAAACCAAAATATATATATATTGAACAGTAAAAATTAGAAATTTAAAATTTTGGGAAACTGAACTAAGAAATGTATACTACCTTTTTAATGATATTAGGTGACGTAATCATTAAAAATGGCGGAAGGGAGCCGTTTTGGAAGAATTTTAAATGGGATCATATGGCAAGTGATACATCATTTGAAACCTTGTTCCAAACCCTTTCCTATGACATCATAATAATTAAATTTTTACTTACAACGAATGCTTTGTTTTAAATTTTCAATGTTATCAACTGGCATACTACATATTTTTAACATTTGGCACTGTACTATTTTCGTTTAAAATCAAAGTTTTTTTTATGGGTTCATATTACAATTTCAAATTTCTATTTTTTACGGTTCAAAAACTAAATGGGGTTCAGACTTAGAAAACAGTTTTTAAACTGCAAAAAAGTTATGCGCTCATTTATATTACAGCTAAACGATTGTGTACGTTTAGTGCATAGTACCCTTTGAAAAAATATGCTCGAAGATAGTATCGCATAAATATTTTATACCTGGCATCGCTGTACGACGAGACCGAAAGATTCTCGATTAAAGATGAACAGTTTTCTCGTATTTCTATTTATAGTAATCTAGTAGTCTGTGATTTTGCTCAACTTTTGTTCTAAGTGGTTCTTTGCGTCTCTTGGCTTGGCTAGGCTATGTCATCGCTGTGTTGAGTTATCCCAGGTGGACAGTGTTTGTTTATCTAGTATTGTATTGACATTACTGTTTGGATTTTTTATTTATGAAAAAATGGCTTTTTTGAAGCCTTTTGAAAGGATGGAAATAATGTTTTCTCTGAAGGTATGAAAATAATTATAATTCTGTTTGACCATTTTTTAAATAAATAGGATAAGTTGCACCACAAAAACAAATTGATATTTAAATACCCTCATAAATTGTAAAATTTAAACAGTTTACCTTATTGTTAACCTAACAGGGTGATTCACAAAGAAAAAGTAAATGTATTATAATATTACATGCCGGTAATGAAAACGGTTTTGTGTTAAATTGTTTGCTATTATCAGCAAAGAATATTTTCAGTTATTCAACAGGTTATCACTAAGATATGACGTCTACCTTGTTCGAAAAATGGTTTGGTGATCAATTAATTCCCAATTTGCCACCAAATGCTCTAATTGTAATGGATAATGCCTCTTACCACTGTCGTCAGACTAGTGAAATTCGAAAAACAGAAGCTCGAAAAAAGGAAATTTTTGCGTTTTTGGACAAAATGAGTGTATCATATTCACGTACAGCTTTAAAAAAAGATTTGCTTGCAATGTTGAAAGGCTTAAATCTCAAACCTAGCTATATTGTGAATAAGATGGCTACTGCAATTGGTCATACCGTAATACGCTTACCATCGTTTTATTGTACATTAAATGCAATAGAATTAATTTGGAGTAACATCAAAAGGGAGGTCAGAAAATATGATGCGTTGTCTGAAAGCGTTATCAGAGAAGTTATTGGAGGTAGTATATCTTAAGAATTATGGTCCAATTGTGTTTTCTATGTTATCAAAATTGAAAATCCATCGAGTGTTTCCGGCTCATTCTTGCATTATAAACCTGAATGACACGTCAAGTGATGATGATAGTTCTGATGAGATTTGATTTTCCATTTTGGTTATATTTTTACGTTAGTGAACGTACCCACGTATCTGTTTGTTCACGTTATTTTGGAATGGAACATGATATTGTTCCTGTTTTTCTTCTCTAGGAATGTAACCTTGACGTGGTGAGAAGGCTTGCGTGCTTTATTCACTTTAGAAATTAAAGCCAAATTAAAACCAAATTTTGTATAATAAGATGATACAAATAACAGTTGTTCAAGCATTTTTCGTAACATCCTACATTGATTTTTATTATTTAATGTAATGTTTAATTACTTCAATTAAATCAAATAAATAGTAGATAAAAATAATATAGTTTCATTGCGATTTTGATTTCAAGTCGCGAATATTTATTTCGGATTAATGTGGCCTTTAAAAACTAAATTTAGTGAAATCTATTAAATAATCGAAGTTAGAAAATTATGCGAATAATGTGATAATTTTTAAATGCGCATAATATTCCTCTTGAAATATACAATACACAATCTCAAATTAAAGCGCAACATACAATTTATTAGGTCCGTCCCTGAGCTGCCGTTGCAGGTGTCTACATTAGTGATGGGAGTACTCGAGTACAGAAATCGGATAATACCCGATTCCTAAAGGAATCTGAATGATAAATATGAAGGCAAGGACGGCTCCAGAGGGGAGCCAGGGGGACATTCCAACCCCTCTCCTCCCCGAGCTTAAAATTATTACAATTCTTTTTTTTAAATATGCTAAAAAGGAAATTGTTATTGGCAATGGCTTCCCCCGAAATTTCGGGTTGGAGTTGCCCTTGCATGGATATAACTATTTAGTTTGGGACTTTTTAAGGTAGGGAACATTTTAAATTCATGGCGCATATTGTGTTTTACTTGTGCCAATACTTTTAATGCATAAATATCGAGTAATTCCAACATATTTTTACTTGGTATTTCAACTTTTTTATCGATATTATTGGTGGCAAATATATTATTCCATGACATTCAATTTAAATGGAAAGACATGAAAGATCTAGTTATACCCAACAACCAATCAACTGTTGGTCATTTGCCGCGAATGATGGGAATATGACCATGTTGACTAAATATTGAAAGGGCTATTATATTTTCATGGTTTGTGGGCCATCATTAATTAATTGATATTGGCCTTGCGTTGAGGAACAGTTACTTACCCATCTCATATGTATTTTAAATGGTATCTACAAAATGCAAATGGATTATGACTAAGAGAAACAAAAAAGGTGGGAATTAATCTAATAACCGTTTATACTCTTTTCGAAATAAATTTTAACAGTAACAATAATAAAGGTCCCATGATGACAAAGTAAGTCTGGGATTATTTTAAAAGCCCTGTAACTGCGATTGATGGCAGAATGACTGTGGCCCGACTGTCGGTCGTAGTGACCTATATATGCCGGCCCTTTGTAGGTAAAAGTTATAAGGCTATCGCAGGCCATTATTTTCTCAGACCAAAATATTTGTAGGGCACACTTTCTTGCTCTTTTTAAAATCTGACACATACATTTTCTAACCACATGCGGATTATTTTTTTCTTGATTCTTAAATTTTATGAAAGAGAGTTCTACCCTACTATTTATTTCGGAAGAATATACTTTATATTTCAAGTATCCCCAGATGTAGCAATCAACAGGATTAAAATCAGGTCATCTCGAATGCCAGCCACATATTCTTAGTTCAAAAATGTATGATACATTTTATTAATTAATAAGAAATCTGGAAATGGTGTACGCACTAAACATGAGATGAGGGGTAAAGTTTTTAGAAACTTAATTTTTTATTAAAATTAGGCTAAGCGCTTTCAGCTTTACAAAGCCATCATCATATCCACTTTTTAATAACTACCACAGCAAGAATCATAAAATAAACATTTGGAAGTTACGATGTTAAGAAAAAATTTTACTGCCACTTGTGTTTGGCTAATAATAAAGTAGTTTAACCATTATTATAAGTATCTTGCTTAAAATAGATTATCGGTAATTATTTTAATTATAACAGATAAAAAGGAGTAAACTATGATAAAATAATTAGTACGGAGCCCTTTCTAATGGTAAACTGATAAAATAGCACAATGTACTTTACCTCGAGGTAGAGTACATTGCAAATATGTGTTGTTATTTTAATGATCTATTTATACATGTACACTAATGTATTTTACTGGACCACTATGTTTTAGTTGTTTATTGTTGAATTTTATTACATTCGTGCCGACGAAAAATTTTCTTATTCCCACTTGTTAACACTTTTTTGCAAGAAAAATTGCATCTGGTCGTCTTTGCGTACGTAAACACGATCGACTTTTGATCTACTTTACAGTTGCATAATTTTGAAACTGATTACAAAAATTTAATTTAATGATATAATATGTGACCAGTTGCGAAAAGAAACCAAATGAAAATAAACCTTTTTTGGTTTTAAAATCAATATACATTATTATTGAAAGTTTATATCACAGAAGGGCAGGTTGACTTATAAAAATAGAATTTGGTTAAACTTACGACATAGTAATAATGTTGTTTTGGTCCTTATTTTCCATTCTAAATCAGCACAAAATAATAAAAACACAATACACGACAAAATAAATCATTTTCTTAAAAAAATATCTAACACACAATATCAACACACCACAAGTCTTTTTATCAATAAAATGCAACTA